GACTGGCGCTTTATCGGCCTGTCCGTGCCCTCCCTCGCCCGGCTTACCGCGGTGAGGAGGCCACCTGCTGCTGCGGCGAAGTCGTTCAGGAGTGTCCCGGGGGTGATCTCACAGCGGGGCGGGCCTGTTCCTGGCACGGCGTTCAGGTCTAATCACGTCCTTGAGGTCGGTCTTCTCGGGGCCGGCCCCGGCCTGGGGCGCCCTGGCCTTGCGCTGGTCCTCTGAGCTTCACCACCCGGGAATGGATCGGGCCGCCTCGGCCCGGGAGCTGCCGCGGCTGTGGCTGCCTTGTTCCCGCGGCTCGGCCTCCGCCGGGGCGGCCGCCGCGTGGGGCCGGGCCGGCCGGCAGGGCGGCCCCCCCAAGCGCTCCCACGCCCCGGGGGGCAGCCCCAGCCCTGCTCCAAGGCGCGGCGATCAGCTTTCCTCTGTTCCTGCAGCTGCTGCCGCTGCTGCTGCTGCCGCCGCTGCTGCCGCTGCCGGTCCTGGTTCCTGGTGAGCAGCCCGGCCACCGCCATGCGCGGCCCGGGCAGCTCGAAGTGGTAGCCCAGCTTGAGCAGGGTGGTGTTGGCCCGCAGCAGCCGCGCGATCTCCGAAGAAATAAGAGCAAGGCCCGATTAGGCCAGTCATTTATAGATAAGTGAACGCCTTACAAAATGCTTAAAAATAGTTGGTTGTCTTTCAGTGGATGGAGAGAGACCACCTGCAAATTGCATTTACACTGCTCACGTTTTACGCGGGGCTGACAAGTGGTAAACCTCGGGCTAGGTGACCGCGGATTAATGGAGCTTTAAAATATTTCGCTGTTGTGTGCTTTAATGTTTACTGTGATTCACTGTCACTTAGTGCAAAAGTTCTATTCCCTGCAGCGTGAGTTGCAGAAACGAAGAACGTGGGGTCATTTCTATGACGGCATTTAGGGAAAAAAAAAAAACGGGAGGGCCTGGGGAGGGAGGGTGTGTTCGTGCCACAGAGTGATTGGTAAATTTTTTATGCCACAGGTTTGAGTCTGGTAATTTACTGTATTATTTTAAAATCTTGTCTGTTAAGTTAGCCAGGATACTACATTGACAGAATAGTAGATATGTTATTATATTTCATACAGATCGACAATCCCCGAAAGACATGTTAAGCAAAATCCCATGCAAGCTTGTCCTTCTGTTTTTGTTTTTTTTTTGAGACAGAGTCTCTCTTGTTGTCCAGGCTAGAGTGAGTGCCGGTGGCATCAGCCTAGCTCACAGCAACCTCAAAACTCCTGGCTTAGGGGGATCTCCTGCCTCAGCCTCCCGATAGTGGGACTACATGGCATGCAGCCACCAGCCCGGCTAATTTCTTCTCTACTAATATATAGTTGCCAATTAATTTGCTTTCTTTTGATAGTAGAGAGGGGTTGGCTCGTTGCTCAGGCTGGTTTTGAACTCCTGACCTCGGACAATTCCCCCGCCTCGCCTCCAGAGAGGCTAGGGATTACAGCGTGAGCCACAGCGCCGGCCATGTTCTTCTTGTTTTAAAAGCTTTTTTTCTTCTTTATAGATATTATATACTGTGGTATATTATTTTAGTTGTCCAGCTAAACATTCTTAGTCCTTCCTTCCTTCCTCCCTCCCTCCCTCCTTTCCCCTTCCTTCCTTCCTCTCTCTCTCTTTACTTTTTTTTTTTTTTTTTTTTGAGACGAGTCTCACTCTGTTGCCCGGCTAGAGTGGAGTGCCGTGGGCGCAGCCTCGCTCACAGCAACCTCCAACTCCTGGGCTCAAGCGATCCTCCTGCCTCAGCCTCCTGAGTAGCTAGGACTACAGGCATGTGCCACCGTGCCTGGCTGATTTTTTCTATATACTTTTAGTTGGCCAATTAATAATTCTTTCTATTTTATAGGTAGACGGGGTCTCGGCTCTTGCTCAGGCTGGGGTCTCAACTCCTGGACTCGAGCGATCCTCCCGCCTCGGCCTCCCAGAGTGCTAGGATTACAGGCGCGAGCCACCGCGCCCGGCCTCTGGCCAGAATCTCTAATCCATTCTGCATCCTTTAGGGCACGTGAACGTAGTAATTTTTGCTGCAAAGCTCTTGATTTTCCAGGATTAATTTTATTCCTTTTCTCCGAATGCTTCAATCACAGGTACAACTGCCGAAAGAACTGGAATAAGGGCAACTGAATCGCCTAGAAGAACGAGAAATTGGAATAATGACTCTTGGGTCACGGCGTGAAGACTTTCAGTGGCAACACTTCTAGGTACAGGTGGCAGAGCTGGGGACAACGCTAACATCTGATGGGGCATTTCTTAGAGGCGGAATGCTTGGGCTATGATGAAATGGGGCTGGAGAGAAGAGGGAAGGAGATAAAACATGCACATTTTAGAACAGAAAGGGTACCTAGGTGGGACAAAAACAAAAACAAAAAAAAAAGAAAAAAAACATGTACACTCAGAGGCAGCATATTCTACTTCCAATCAATTCGAGTGACTTGGGTGACATTTAGAGTCGTGTCCAGAAGCAGAAGTTAAAAAAATTTTGGGCAAACTTTCACTTTACTATTGTTTTCTTCTTGCAACAATAAATACAAAGTGTTAACAGAAGTGTTAACTATTACTGGTTTTTTTTCTTAATTTTTTTTGAGACAGAGTCTCGCTCTGTTGCCCGGGCTAGAGTGAGTGCCGTGGCGTCAGCCTCGCTCACAGCAACCTCAGACTCCCGGGCTCAAGCGATCCTCCTGCCTCAGCCTCCCGAGTAGCTGGGACTACAGGCACGCGCCACCGTGCCCGGCTATTTATAAATATATATATTTTCTTGTCTGGCTAATTTCTTTCTAGTTTTAGTAGAGACGGGGTCTCGCTCTTGCTCAGGCTGGTCTCGAACTCCTGCGATCCTCCCGCCTCGGCCTCCCAGAGAGCTAGGATGACAGGCGTGAGCCACCAACCCTTGCCCTGCAAAAAGTCTTGAAGGATTTTAATCCTGATGTAAAAAAAAAAAAAAAATGAACCCAATTTCACAGTTTGCTGTGTTAAAACACAGGTTTTGTCAGGAGAAGTGAAGCAGCTCACCCTGGGCCCTCTCTGTTCCGCATCCCCACCCTGAATCTCAGTGGAAGACTTTAACTTGTTTCTAAAATGTCATAATGATTTACAACATTGATATGTTTTCCCGTTATTATCCTTCCAGAATTGACTACTGGCCATTAGTGATTACAATGAGTAAGTATCTTTTTTATTCAAGTCTGTGCACTTTTCTCTGAATTTATCGCATTCAGTCAGGATTCACCTCTCAGAAAATGGAAGGGCCCAGCCGGGCGCGGTGGCTCACGCCTGCAATCCCAGCACTCTGGGAGGCCGAGGCGGGAGGATCGTTTGAGCTCAGGAGCGAGACAGCCTGAGCATAGAATGAGACCCCCGTCTCTACTAAAAAAATAGAAAGAAATTAGCTGACAACAAAATATATATAGAAAAGTTAGCCGGCGTGGTGGCCGCATGCCTGTAGTCGCCGCTACTCGGGGAGGCCTGAGGCAGGAGGATCGCTTGAGCCCAGGAGTTCTGAGGTTGCTGTGAGCGAGGCTGACGCCACGGCACTCACTCTAGCCTGGGCAACAGAGTGAGACTCAAAGAAGGAAGGAGGAAGGAGGGAGGGAGAGGGAGAGAGAGGGAGAGAGGGAGAGAGAAGGAGAAGAAAGGGAAGGAAGGGAGGAGGAAGGAAGAAGGAAGAAAGAAGGAAGGAAGGAAAGAAAGGAATGGAAGGAAGAGGAAGGAAGAGGAAGGAAGGAAGGAAGGAAGGAAGGAGGAAAGGAAAGGAAGATTAGGAAGGAAGGAAGGGAAGGAAGGAGGGAGGGAGGGGAAGGAAGGAAGGAAGGAAGGAAGGAAAGGAAGGAAGGAAGGAAAGGAGGAAGGAAGGAAGGAAAAGAAGCAAAGAAAAGAAAAGAAAGAAGAAAGAAGAAAAAAGAAAGAAAGAAAGAAAGAAAGAAAGAGAAAGAAAGAAAGAAAGAAAGAGAAACAGAAAGAAAGAAGAAAAGAAGAAAGAAAGAAAGAAAGAAAGAAAGAAAGAAAGAAAGAAAGAAAGAAAGAAAGAAAGAAAGAAAGAAAGAAGAAAACAAACGGAAGGGCCTAATCAGTATATGACATCCATGTCAGGTTTTAAAAAAAAGGGTTCCACTGGAAATTTTATCCTGGCAGCAAATGCCGCAGGCACTGGCGCTGTGCCGAGCGGTGTTGGAGCACGCACGCAGGCTCGCCCGCTGCGCAAGTGCCCGCTCACGGAGTTTCCCAGGCACTTCACCCAGACGTGCGTTAAATAAAGTCTCGCAAAGAAACCTTTGATGCGTTTTATTCTCCGTGTTTGGGTCAGGGCACAGATTCTAGACCGCTGTCTGTGAGGTCACGGGGCTATCGCCGTGCTAAAAATGAAGGCTGAGAAATTAGGCAAGAAAACTCAGAACGGGCACGAGCTTTGCTCCTTGTCCTAGGACACGCAGAGTCCCTCAGCGGGCACACTGCCACCGCCCTCACGAGTCAATGCCGGGGACCCTCAATGCGTTTCTGCTTCACCTGTGACGTCACGCGGTTGGCAGGCAAAAGGTTTCTGCAACCTAACTCCTAAAAACAGGAGAAACAGAGGCACGAAAGTAACGACACACAGATTCATGCCATCTTAATTCTAACGTCTATGAAAGCATGTGGCTGCAGCAACCGCCACCCAACACTTTTATGAGCTGCGAAGGCCAGTGGTCACCCCCAAGTTCATTACCGCCGTTAAAGGCCTTTTGGCTTGCACATCTAAAGACGCTTTGCAAGATTTCAAAAGTTCGGCTATATAAAGTTCTCATCTACAGCCAAAAAAAAAAAAAAAAAAAGTTCGGCTATTGTCGTCCTTTTTTTTTTTGCCCCAAAGGAAAATAAAATGCACATCCATTTCCTTCTTTCTCAATGTTCCAGTTAAAAATTAAACACTAAAAAAAAAAAAAAAAAAAATGGGAAACATTATCTTGGACACTGTTTTTCATTGTAATAACAACAAAAAAAATGTGCAATATAAATAGAACTCACGAGTTTTGTTTTATTTCTCTGTCTGGTTGTGTTTTTAACAAAGTCTGTCAAGAATATAACATGGGTCACACGCAGCTGTAACCTTCTTAAGGGAAAATGACATTAAGTTTGCAACAAATACCTGCTGGTGAGGAACACACTGCCAGCATTTCAAAACCTTACAAAAATTTAACGAGATATTCTAAACAGCTATCTTTTCACGTGTAAACAAAGTATGAACAACCGGCTCGCCCGGGTTTCCACCGCACAGCAAGACAGGCGGCCAAGTGAGACAGATCGTTGTCTTCGACTTTAAAAGAGTGATGATAAAAACTAGACTAGCTTACGCCCCACGCGTCACAGCCCTGAGGGACACTTTCGGAGGAGGACGCAGGAGGGGACTGCAAACAGGCTGACCCGCGACGTCACCTACTTTAACAACCTGTTTCGTTTACCCATGTTTCTTTTCCCCTGCGGGACCACAGCACTGTTGCAATAAAACTCATAATTCTTTAATTTCCTTTTACTCCCCTAAAGAAACAGGCGTGATCCACATTTCCCACCAGATTTCACAGACACAACGGGAGGGCGCTTTCTGTTCAGTTTCCGAGGCCTTCCCTCCGTGACACTCGAGCCGTCGGCGCTCTGGCCTGCACATACGTGTGCCACGGACGGGGGGCGGGCGGGGGGAGGGGGCTGGGCCGTGCACCTGCTATTTAGAACGTACGAGCAGAAGGTGGGCCTGGACAGAGCAGACGGCAGCTCGGTTCCCGCTGCTGCGGCCCGTCCCCGGGCGGGCCGGCTTCATTCCTTGGCCTTGCTGATGTAGTCGGCCACCACGCCCAAGCTGTCTCCCTGCTGCTCCAGCGCGCTCAGGACGATGCCCATGGGCGTCCGCTTCACCCCCAGCCCCTCCATTTTGTTCTCCAGCTTGTTCTTGAGGTTCCGGAGCCTCAGCGAGGCGTGGATGAACATCACTGCAGAGAACGGACACAGGTCAGCGCCAGGAACCTCCCTCCTGCCACGTGCCACGCTGCCCCCCTTCCCTCTCAGTGCACTGCCTGCCTCAGCCAGCCGCGGCCCGCCCTGCTTCTCTGATTGATCCACGCCTTGGAATGGACCCCGGAGCTTTACATAAAGCTCTTTGTCAAGTCATAGTTTTTTTTTTTGTTTTTTTTTGGAGACAGAGTCTCACTCTGTTCCCTGGGCTAGAGTGCCGTGTGGCGTCAGCCTCGCTCACAGCAACCTCCCACACTCCAGGGCTCAAGCGATCCTCCTGCTCAGCCTCCCGAGTAGCTGGGACTACAGGCATGCGCGCACCAGCCCGGCTATTTTCTCTATGTATTTAGTTGGACCATTAATTTCTTTCATATTTTACCCTGTTTCCCTCAAAATAAGACACCAATAAAATTACTATAAGATTTGCGTCTTGTTTTGAGACAGAGTCTCGCGGCTGAGAGCCAGGTAATAGTCCGGGCGTCAGCCTCGCTCACCAGCAACCTCCAACTCCTGGGCGTCGAAGCAGTCTGCTGCTCAGCCTCCCGAGTAGCTGGGACTACAGGCATGCGCACCCATGCCGGCGTATTCTAGTATTTTTTAGTGGCCAGATTAATTCTTCTATATTTATTGTGGATTTCCCGAAATAGACCCCCACAAATAGCCTGAGAGATTTCTGCGTTTGGAAGAGGCGTCGCCTGCTTTGCCCAGGTAGAGTGAGCGCGGTGCGGCGGTCCGCGACAGCAACCTCCAACTCCTGGGCTCAAGCAATCTCTGCTCAGGCCCGGAGTAGCGGGCTACAGGCAATGCGCCACCATGCCCGGCTAATTTTGTTCTATATTTGTTTAGTTTGGCCAATTTAATTTTTTCTATTTACAGTAGAAACGGGGTCTCGCTCTTTGCCAGGCTCGTTTTGAACTCCGACCTTGAGCGATTCTGCTCAAAGCCCCCAGAGTGCTAGGATTACAGGTGTGAGCACCACACCTGGCCTACTAGCAGGATCTCTAAGCATGTGCACAATAGAAGCCCTATCCCGAATAACCCTAGTGGTGGGCGTGGCTATAGAAATAAGCCCTAGTGGTGGGGCATGGCTATGAAAATAAGCCCTAGTGGTGGCATGGCTATGAAATAAGCCCTAGTGACTGGGCGTGGCTACGCAGCAATCCGCACAACCCATGCTGTCGTCGAGGAGCAGGAAGAACATGAGCAAGCCCTTCTCATCTGCCCGTGAGAGCTCTATGGCTCCACAGGAGAGATCAGGCCAGTGGTTCTAAAGGAAATAGAGTCGCAAGACATTCAGGATGGAATTCGGGGGTTTGGAAGTGATGATAGTCCAGAAGAAGATACTTCACCTATTTGGATCAATGGAGATGTTGTACCTGTTTAAAAAGATAACATCCCCTGAATAAGCCTAGAGGTGTCTTCTTGAGGAAAATAAATATTAAGAAAGACCCTGCTTATTTTTGGGAAGACACGGTAGTAGAGATGGGTCTCGCTCTTGCTTCAGGCTGGTTCAAACTCCTGAGCTCAAAGGTTCCGCCCGCCTCGGCTTCCCAGAGTGCTAGGATGACAGGCGTGAGCCGCCACGTTTGACCACACACAGTTTTTTTCATGTGTGAGGGAATTACCTAAGGTATTCCAGAAGGAACTCTTGCTCAATTCAGAGATTATCAGTATTTTGTTCCCTCCAGAGAACAAATACATACATGGGAGGCATGTGGGTGATATCCACTTTTAAAGCACCTCCTAGAGTAACCCCGTGTGACCACATCCCTGTTGTCAACTAGTGTCTTGCGCAATCCGCTGGAAAACCTGTTGAGTAGGCAAATTCCTAGGCCGGGCGGGTGGCTCACGCCTGTCATTCTAGCACTCTGGGAGGCCGAGGCGGGAGGACTGTTTGGAAGCTCTCAGGAGTTCAGACCAGGGTGGCAAGAAGAGCCTTGTCTTAGGTTAGGTTATAGTATAGTGCTTTAGTAAGTAAATTCAGAGATCATTCAAGAATGCATGCTCTCAGTATCTAGATCTAATGTACAAGTTACAATGAGATAACTAACCTATAGCTAAACGAAAGTCATGGGTGAGTCCTACCGCCAGGAAGCCCTGGTGTGATCATTGCTGGGATAATTAGAGTGGGTTAAGAAGAAATATGTATGTGGTTGCTATATATGAAAACTCTGCAACGGTCATATATTTCTGATATGTTTAGAAAGGAGGTGGAAAAAGTCATCTAAAACTACAACTGTTTTGAAAGGCAGTTGTGAACTCAGGATTTCCCTAGTTTTTCTTGCTTCTTAAGGAGTAGATGCTGCTTTTTGGTCCCTGAGCCCATGGTGGATTTGCATGTGGAAAAGCATTTCTCCTAATTACCTGAGGGATTAGGTGTTCTCCCCGTTGCTTGTGCAAATGCATCCTGTCTTCACGTGC